CTGGCATGTGGTGCTGGGGGATCGAACCGCGGTCCCTGTGCTTTGCCAAGCTTGTTTCAAGTAGGTGCTTTAGACCACTGAGCCATCTCTCCAGCCCTACTAGGCATTTCTTAATCTAAAGAAGTTGACATGTCAGGATTAATGGTCACAGTATGCTTTGAGGGGACACAAGGGACTTTGAGGGGAGGTAAGGCAATCCAGAAAAAGTGAGTGTTGCAGTCATGAACACAAGCAAACACAGGATTATGTTCATGAAGTGAGGCTTTATTGAGGACCTGCTGTCTCATGGGCTTGTGCTGGTTGATGAAAAAAGAAAAAACAGGCACAGTCAGGCTCTTCCCTGGCGGAGCTGCTGATCAGACTGGCTCACAGTTGGTGTGTGTGTTTGAAAGGGACAAATGAAAAGGGGGAAGGGGTAAAAGCCATGCGAAGCCAAAGAGGACAGGCAGAGCCCAGTGTAAGGGAAGAGGATGCAGCGCTGCGGCTGGGAGGGCCCCACAGCTCTGGCCTGCGTCAGGCCACCGCCTGGCCTGTGGCCTTCTTGCAGACCCAGTGATAGGCGGCGCTGCAGGATATGTCATTCCACTTCTTCTGAATATGGACACAGTCTTCAGTCTCCCCGCTCTGATGTTGCCAGTTGTCTGGCTGATTCTTGTCCCAAAACCTGAAAGCAACAGAACAAGTGTCCCTTCTCCCTGTAGGGGCATGAAGAGTTACAGCAACACAGGTCCCTCATCTTCTAGAGGCTCTAAAAGAGGGCAGGGCTGGAGCCAGAGATACCCTGAGGGTGACTGTGCTGAAGTGTCCCTAAGTTACTGGGGACCCAGGGCCAGAAGCATCTAAAATGCCGCAAGCTCCTATCCCAGAATTTGTGCTCAGATGCCCTCCAATGGATCTCTTGGACCAGATCTAAGTATGATGCAGGATAGGAAGCAAACAGAAAAGAAAAGCAAGACCCACCCACAGGCCGCACCAAGACCTGTCCTCCTTTCCTTGCATCCCTCATGGATATTAAAGGTACCACAAGTCCATTGGAAATGGTGGGAGCTCTTTTGCCATGGCTGTGGGGCTGTTATTGGAATGAAATTGGGATGCTATGGTGTATGTGGGGGACCTTGACAAGACGGTTTGTGAACCACTGCTGTGGGAACTCTTGCTCCAGGCTGAGTGGGTAGTTAACACCCATATGACAAAGGACAGAGTCGCTGGCCAGCACCAAGGCTATGGCTTTGTTGAATTCTTGAGTGAGGAAGATGCTGGCTGTGCCATTAAGATTATGAACACAATCAAACCCTATGAGAAGCCAATAAGGATAAACAAAACATCAGCTCACAACAAGAAGCTGGATGTGGAGGCCAACATTTTCATTGGGAATCTGGCCCCACAGTTGGATGAGAAGCTGCCTTATGGTACTCTCCGCACCCTTGGGAGTCATCTTACAAACACCCAAGATTATAAGGGACCCTTGGGGGCCCAGCCCTAGCTCAGTTCTTTAAGTGGCTGCTTCCACAATGCTGGCAGCCTCAGTTTGCTGTAGTTCTATCCCCACAACACTCCAGCCATGCAAAAGTGCCCTGAAGGCATTCAAGGAGAAAAAAAAAAAAAAAAAATCCTTATAAGGGACCCTAACATAGGCAACTCCAAAGGCTATGACTTTACTAATTTGGCTTCATTTGATTCTTTGGATGCAGCCATGGAGGCCGTGAATGGGCAGTACCTCCGTAAATGGCCCTATCACTGTGTCTTCTGTCTTCAAGAAGTACTCCAAGTGTGAGCGCCATGGCTCAGCTGCTGAACACCTTCTGGGAGCCCAAAACCTGCTCTCTCAGGCTGACCATTGTGGCAGCTGTTGGCTGACACCTCCTCCACCCTCTGCCCCCAATCCTGTGGCATCATCAATGTGATCTTGGCATCCTCCACCAGGCATACTGCTTCCTGGCTCCTTCCCACCACCAGTGCCACCTCTTGGAGTGCTCCCACCTGGAATACCACCCACCAGCCACGCTTCCAATACCTATTCGTCCTAGGCCTGGAGGACACAGTGTCCCATCAGCAGTAACCCCAAGGGCCAGACCTCCTGGTCATGCACATTCACATCCTCACCCCTTCCCACCTTCTGGGATGCCCCATCCAGACATATCTCAGATGACATAGGCTCACCATGGTCCTCATGGCTTAGGACATCCTCATGCTGGGCCTCCAGGCTCTGAGGGACAGCCACCATGCAAGCCTCCACCTGGGTTGCCTCACCCTGGACCTCCTCCCATGGGCATGCCCCCCTAGGGCCTTCATTCGGATCTCCCATGGGTCACCCAGGTCCTATGCCACCACTGATGCCCCCTCATGGATACACTGAGTCTCCACAACTGCCTCCCTATAGCTACCAGGGGGGGTCCCTGCCTGTTCCCAGACCTTCTTTTGGGCCTCCTATTCCTCCTTGTGGCCCACTTCAAGGCCCTCTCCCTCAGTAGGTTCTCATTTTCTTTCCTCCTATGTTCCCCTGTATCTTTTCTTGGATTCTTTGGACAAATCAGAATTGCTGTGACTTCTTGTGGCGAAGATGCAAATCCCTCTCAGGCTCTCCCACCTCCTTTTTTTAACGTACATTTCTTCACAAGAGATTTTCTTTAGTCTTTTTTATGTGACCCTAAGTGTTTTGCAAGTGCACAGAGAAAATAAATCTGTACTTTGTTTAAGAAAAAGTATGGCACCGTGTATATCACATATACACACCACACATGCCACACACATATCACATTCTATACAAATAACATACTGCACACATCACGTACCATACACATCACATACACTGCACTCATAAATCACACACCACAACATACATCACACACCATGCATGTTTCACATGCCACACAATGTCATACTATAGGACACTACTCATAACATACACATCTCACACATGTCACAAACACACACACAGTATATACATACTATACAATACACACACAACACTGACACTCTCTAGGCAGAGATACACATACAGGACAGGGACTTACAGAGTCTCTAGCCAGACCTGACAAACAGAGTATCCAGGACAGTGACAAACAGTGGCTAGACTCACTTTTTGCTCGTGACAGTATTAAAGGGTGACCCATCTGTCCAACTCCAGGAGCCCTCAGTACCCGCATCAGTGAGGCCAATCCAGTGGTATAAGGTGCTTGTAAACCGTACCAGGAATGCCTACGGAGAAGGGGTGGGGCTTGTGTGACCCGGTGTGCAAGCAGCTGGTTCTTCAGGCTGCCCTCCCTGGTCCCATGGCCTGCGCCTTCCAAGGCTTGTCTAGAGCACAGAGCAACACCAGGTCTCCTCAGGGGAAGCCCAGCCTCTCCCATATTGATTGTTCCTAAAGAGTCCCTGTCCTTGGGTGCAGCTTCTCAAAGTATGTTCTACAAAGTAGTGTGGGCATCCACAGCCCTGTAATAACAGTCTCAGATGAGCCGCAGCAGAGGGCATTTCTGTAAGTGAAAATGAACCAAACATTCCCTGCTCTTTTGTTCATAGCCTGGCAGTTCTGATAAGGACCTTGGCCTGTGGGCTTCCTGGGGCCATACTGCCTTTGACAGTCCTCAGAATCTTAGGTATATGTCTGATCCCCAGAGGAACGAGCTCAGGATTGCTGTTCATGAGCCCTCCACAGTCGCCTGGTTAGGGGACATTAAAATCAGGATTTCTTGGCAGAAATCAAAAGCACAGGGACATTTAAGATCCCTGATTTTTAAAAGCTATCACCTGGTGCCACCTTCCAGTGCCCTCCCTCTCTGCTGTCCTTGGGATCTCCCTCCCTCACTGAAGGTGTGGGGGTTCACTTTCAGTGCTTCTACCTACAGCTCAGGGTGCTCACTGAAGCTCAATGAATATTTGCTCCCTGCCTGACAAGAGAGACATGGAGTTCTCTGCCACACCCACCAAGAGGGAAAGGGGCAGAGCATGCCAGTCCCTTACCACACACACACTCCATCAGTACCAGCCCACTGCTGCAATTCTGACCTGCTCCTCCTCAGAGGTGACTGATGTCAGGTGGGCCCCCTGGGACACGCAGAACTTCTCAGCTTCATGCCAAGGCTTCTTGATGTTAGAAAAGTAATATAAGTTGCCCGCAAATATCTTCCAGCCTTGTAGGATCAGCTGGAGAAGTTGATCTGGAAGATAAATTGGGAAGGAGAAACAAAAGCTAACGGTACATGTTTCTAAGATGATCTTTCTGACCTGTCCCAGGGCTGACCACTGAGGTTCGCTGGCTCAGGCAATTCTTGATGCCTGGTGCTGCAGGAGCCTCTACCACCATCCCACTAGCCATCCTCGGGGAAGCAGCCCCAAGACGCCCACCTGTCTCAGTCTCTCCCAGGACACTCACTGTGATACTAGTCAGCACTGTTTCCAAATACCCTTTCCAGCTATATCATCCTTCCCCCCAAAGCCATGGTGGTCACTCACTATCCTTCCACCTTGTTATGGCTTGTGTCTAGTTGTCCCCCCAAAGCCTCATGTAGTCATGGGGTGGCTTCTGGAGTTTGTGGTTGATTATTGTGGGTGTGGGTGCTGCCCCCATCCTGGGGAAGGTAATCTGCATTACAATGAGAGAGGCTAGCTAGCTGCCTGAGCTGCTGTCACTCCCTTTGCTGTTTGCCCCACCATGAACGGCTGCTTTATGTCATGCGCCACTCTGCATTGGAACCAGCTGAGTATGGACTGAAACCTCCACTAACTGTGAGCTAAATAAACCTTTGTTTCTTTCATTTGTGGTGTCAGGCATTTGTCCCAGCAACAAGAGAGGAGTAACTGAGACACACCCACGCTGCTGTGATCTTCCTGGGAGAACCATATCACAGCATCCCTGATTTCCCAACTTCATCTCAATCCACCTTAGCTGCCCAGCCTGATGGCCATCCTGGTCTGCTTGACCTCACAGTCTCCAGACACTAACAACACCTTCTGAGAACTCAGTCCTTTCCCCCAACATACACACACACACACACACACACACACACACACACACTATCCACACCCTACTCTCTAGCACCACTTCCACTGAGGTCATATGAAATGCATCTTCCTTGTTCAGATACTCATGCACTTGTTCTCATCTTCTAGGTTCAACATTCTTTGACATAGTCTATGTGTCTGGAGCAAAGATCAATCCAACATGATTGATACCTCAAGGAATTTAAGTCTAGTAAATGACATAGATGGAGAAAAGTTGCTGAAGATGCATTGATTAAAACCAAGTGCCCATTATAATAGAGGCATGAAAGAGAGTATGGTCTGTTTCCTCTGGGAGGGAGGTGTGGCACGAAAGAGCATCCCCAGTGAGATGTCACTCAGATGGAATCTTTTTTTTTTTTTAATTTTTTATTTATTTATTTATTTTGTGTGTGTGTGACCAGCTCAGCCCACCAGGGGGCGAGGCTGGCTGGCATGTGGTGCTGGGGGATTGAACCACGGTCCCTGTGCTTTGCTTAGCTTAGCTTGTTGTACGCAGGTGCTTTAGACCACTGAGCCATCTCACCAGCCCTCAGATGGAATCTTGAAAGACTGAGGAAGGGG